TATATATATATATATATGTGTGTGTGTGTGTGTGTGTGTGTGTGTGTGTGTGTGTCTTTTAATAAAGTGATGATTTTTTATTTTAAAGTTTAACTTTCTCTTCTCTTTTTGCCTTGGCCCAATGAAAGCAATTTTGTGAGACATATATAGCTAATATTCTAGGACAAAGAGAGTTTGATCGTCCTCAGTCGCTGCTACTTGACTCAACAGTATCATTACAACATTTTAGAAGCTACTTGTTCATCAATCCTTCAACAATCAATTCTGCCAGTTCTGTTTCATAGCTATACAGTTCTCTGTTCAACTAATATGGTATTCTGTATCTTTAACTACATTTTTATGAGATAAAAGACCATTTATTTCACATCATGCAAATGTCTAGAATTTTTGAAGGAAATATCTGTAATTTAATATCTCTAGAAAGCTGTTAGGACACCTGTTTCTCAACACTTCTTTAAAACTCTTTTGTCCTTCTTGGTGAATCTTGAATTACCATTCTAATCCAGGAAATAAATGAATACAATTAACTTTCATTGTACCAACCTTTCAGAGAATCACAGATATAAGGAATACCCAAAATAAAATAAGATGAAATTACATTCTGTATATTCACCTCCTATGTACCAATGTGGGCTTGCAAGAAAAACATCAAGTCTTGTTAGACTTTCATAGAAAGCTTTTATTTGCTTTAAGTTTTAAGGGCAATTGCTTATACAGGTTTCTTTGGGGGATTTATTATTTGGGATTATGTTTTTTTTTTATTTTCAATGGTACACAAACAAAAAGGAGAGAGATAAAGAGAAAACAAACTCAGCAAAGAACAGTTCAAAGAATCCAAACTGTACTAAGTTTGAGATTATTTCAAATTCACCGCAGCATCTAAAAACACTCAGTAATGTCCATATTTAGGTCTGTGGAAAACTTGGTATATGTTACCAAAGAACCAATTATGTTTCCTAACTGATATAAGTAGCATTAGAAAGAGCACCATCTTTAAACACTCATTACAACTCACTTTTGAAAATTAGATAATACCAGATACTGTAAGAGTCAATTGCCAGAACAAACTTCTAAAAGCTAAACTATTCTGGCAACAAAAACTGGTAGTTGGAGGTTATGTAGTATGATTTTACCAAGGAGAGAACCACTGTTCTATTAATGTAAAGTGTTCTGGGGAGTGATCTCTTAAATTAAATACTTGGAAACTGGACAAAACTTATTCTCATATCAATGGAAAGAATCCAACATGAAATCCAGACACCCCTTGGAGAATATAATGCAAATAAGGAAGACTCTAGCAAAAGTTAAACTTTTATTTGCATCCCTTAGTTTTGAGTCAGATTGATAAGAATCAATGTCTTTTTTTTTTTTTGAGACTGACAGCAAAGGTGACAAGTACTCTCGGTTACAACTGTCAGTGTAGTATTGCAAAGTCACCCACTAGAAATTGGCCTTCTGTTAGTTACCAAAGGAGCAGGCAAAGTATGGAAATTCAGTCCTCTAAGAAAACACAAACAGCCAGTCTGTAAGGAAGCTTTGGAAAGGGATCCCTGTCCCAGTAATTAAAAACAAAGCAAAATCAATGACAGTAGACAGAAAGCATCCTTAGGAGACTCATACAATTCTATACAATTCTACAGTAGGCCTTGGATATTCTCTAGGCTGGTATAATAATGAACAAAACACATGTGTCATGGCTGTGACTTCCTGGTTGCATGCTTTAGTTCAACTAAAAGTTAACAGCAGAAAAAAAATAAAAATAAAAATAAAAATAAAAAATAAAAAAGTCAAACCTTGGGTCATGTGCTCTTTGGTTTAAATCTTTACTACCACCTATAATTTTGGTTAGCTGACTTTGCTTTTTAAATTAAGCTGGCCCTTTCATCTTCACCCCATTACAAAAGTCAATCACCAAGAACCAGACATAAATTTCAGAATGATTTTGTTTGTGAGAATTCATTTTTCTATGTCCAAACCCTTTATACAAACTGTTTTAGAAAAAAAAAAAAGGAAGATAGAAAAAAAAACAGGTGTTTTAACATAGTATTTTATTACAACTTAATCCCATCCTTGAATGATTTTCTTTCAAGTTTCAACCATTTTTTTTTAAAGTAGTCAGTTTCCTGGTGGTTGCAATTTAATTAAGTAACCTTTCACACTGAGCAAACCCCAAAGCAAAGAGGGTCGTTAATCTTTCTAGTGATTAGACACACCTCTAGAGCCTCAAACATTTACCTCTCCTTCCCCGCAGTAGAAATGGTTTTAGGAGGATCACGGTTCATACCTCACACTCCCTGGAGCCAGAGATGGTATATGTGCAGGGACCAGATCCATTAACCGATATATCCATGGTCTCAGAGTTCGTCGGCTTGTAGTCCACGTAGTATTCCTGTAAAGGGGAATTCATTTGTCTCTCTGACTCCCTCGCCTTTTTCCGCCGCCTCTTCATAAGCGAGTGCTGTTGGAGTTGTTTCATGCTGGCTGGGTACCTTTTCCAAGACACATAGATCACCAGGAGAATCATGGCCACCGAGAGGAACAGAGCCACGCTCCCTGCGATAATTTTGTGAAATGATACGTGCTCGTACTCATTCTCCGTACCTGGAATCTGAAAGCCCGGTGATGGACTCGCTGACTCCAGGGTCGCTGGGATTGCATCAGGTCTGAAGATGGTAGGGTTGGGGATGAACGGGGGCTTCTGGGGAGTTTGAGGTGCCAGGTGTGATCTTTCTGTGTTGACCACCTGGACCTCAGAGCAGATGTTGTAAGTCTCCACAGCATCGCTGACCTTCTCGCCCTGGATGTGCTTAGGCCCTGCGCATATCATGGTACTTTCTTTATTCCCTTTGAAATTCTTCAGCCAGTAGAACAGTGGACAGATGCTCCGACTGCATTCCCACATGTTTCCAGACAAGGTGATGGATATTAGGGATATCCATGCATTCACGGTCTCCTGGGAGACGTTGGTGAGCTTGTTGGAATCCAAATTCAATTTTTGCAGATTGGGGAGGCATTTAAATGTGCCAGGCTCAATCGCTTGGATGTCATTTCCTGATAGATCCAAGGTGTGCAAGGAACTCCAGGTCCATGTTAGGCCTTGGCTCACAGAGCGGATCCGGTTCCACTGCAGGTAAATGGATCGCAGGTTGAAGAGACGAGGAAAATGAGCAAAGTTGATCTTTGAAAACTGATTGTGCTCCAGATGGAGCTCCTTCAACTTCAGAAGACCAGCAAATGCATTTCGGGATAAGCTTCTGAGGCGATTGTAACCCAAATCCAGGAAGTCTAGGTTCCGGCAGTCTTGGAAAACCCTTATGGGCACTGTCTTTAGGGAATTAGATCGCAAGTGCAAAATGATGAGTTTCCGGAGGCCTTTAAACTGCTCAGATTGCAAGGTCTGAAGTTTGTTGTAGGAGAGATCCAGGTTGCGGAGATTGGGGACGGGGTGAAATGTTTTATTGTGCAGATAGGTAATTTTGTTGGAGCTTAGAATTAATTCTTTCAGTCTGCGGATCCCTTGAAAGGCATCTTCATCCACTGAGCTAATGTAATTATGGTCAAGATAAAGCCATATAAGCTGGTTAAGGCCGGCAAACTGATTGGATTTGAGTTTCTGAATGCTGTTGAACCTTAAGGATAAACCTTGTGACCCTCCAGAAATGTTCTCGGGGATGTCTGCAAAGGCGTGAGACTCACAGTACACAATCTTGCCATCGCATCTGCAATTCTTCGGGCAAGCTCTCTGAGCCCCTGTCAGCATCACCAGCAGCAGGGTGGGAAAGAGCACCAGAAACACACTCATGCCTTTCAGCTGTGTGATTAGACGGAAACCTACAAGAGCAAAGAGAACACAGATGCACACTGTCAAAGAGTAACAATACAGCACCACTGACTCATGGGGATCAGGAATGTCCGGTCTAGGGGGAAAAAATGGGAGAGTTCATTTAAGAACACATTTCAACATTTAGAAATCTTCTTTTCCTCAGGGCTCCACTCTTGCTGTTTACATTTCATTCTTACTTCTGTCGTCTTGCTAACATCACAGAACTGTAGAACTGTAAAAACCTCTCTGAGTTTTAAGAGTTTGACTCTATCAGAACCTTGAAAGGCTCAGGGCATTTCTTTTCCCTGAATGCTGACATTTGAATAACAGTAACATTTGACTGTCACTGTATTGACAAACGGGACTGTATTGCATCTTTCAGTAAGGTCAGAACCATGACTTAGAAAATCCGGATCTTGTACATCTTTCCTAGTTGAGAAACAGGCTGTGATTTAGCAAAAGAGCATCCAGGATGCTGTCAAAGTAATCCAAGTTTGTTCTGCCTAAATTACATACTGACTGCATACAAGGGTTGCAATCTCTAAGCCCTGAATAAAGGCATAGGAATATGCACAGACAGCCTACAGACCATGGTTCATAACAGTGTGAGGTGCCCTCAGTAGGTTAATAAACATACATTATTGCATACGTTGGCCCCATGCCCAGAGATACATGAGCTACGTTACGTGATCACCCATACCACAGCCTCCACAAGCCCTCGCTAAGATGTCAAATTCTTATTCCAAATGTACAGAATATAAGCTAATCGTGTTATTAGAGATATTGCTGGGGTTTCCCCCCGTATAGTCATCCTAGCAAATCTGAGAAATAAGCAAGACAGACCCCTAACAACCTCCCCAGCATCCTGACCTGCTCAAGTCTCTCACCGACTGTTTTTTCATCTCTCCCCTGCCTCCATTAACTTCAGAAAGACTGCAAAGTTGCTATCTATTAGCATTTGTGCCGCAATTTCAAGTCATTGCGTGTGAGGGGACTCCTCTCCACCTTCAGCAGTAGGTACACAATTTCTTAAGGGGAAAAGAGAGAAAGACAGAGCGAGGGGGCTACTGCAGGCTGCAATTTCTTTTCTTCTTTAATAGTCATCTATTTAACCAAGAGACAATCACCCAAAATCCTAGTCTAAAAATTCTCTCTCTTTAGAAGAGTTGTCTTTCTTTTTCTTTTCCCCCCTTCTTTTATTTATTTATTTATTTTAAATTAACTTGATCTTGCACTATGTCTTCTTGTCAGCTACAGACTCATTAAAATCCAACCCAGCTCTCCCAGACAGGAGAAGGAAGGAGGGAAAAAAAAAAAAAGCCAGTCACACTTGAAAAAAATAAAACTGGCAAATGACTCCTGGAAATTTGGAAGCTGTATTCAGGGTGCAGCAAACAAGCCTCCGGTGCCACCTCTGATAAAGTAGGGACCCCACCCCTGCACACACAGAGCCAAGTGTTAACAGTCGTCCTGACAGCAACCCGAACACAAGCGTGGCTCATATTATCAGAAACAGAAGCAAACACGGTATTTATTTCATGCTTCGTTCCCAAGCTCTGGGTACGCAGACGCTAGAGACAGTCTTAAAGCTATCCCTCCAGAGTGTGTTTAAGTCCGCGTTATGCATTTATGGATTTAAAAAAAAACTGTCAAAAGGAAAGGATCTAAAAATATGATAGCAACTATAGTGAGACAACTGGTAAAGTAGAGGGTGCTGTTTTGTGCCTGTTTCTTGGTCTTTTAGCAGCTAATGCCCGGTTGAGGATGAGCAGTTAGGATCAGCTTTGCTAAGACGAAAACAACAAAAGTTCGCTTACCCATCCTTTGTCATCCAAAAAACGTCTGCCCCCCTCTCTCAGCTTTCTTCTTATTTGGTCTCTCCTGTAGAAATCACCACCACCTTCATGACACAGTGCAGCTGTCATTCACACCATTCTGAGCCCGCATGTGAGCCAGTAGCCCCATGTAAACTTCCCCGGAGAGGACAGGCAGACACACACACAAAAATAATGGAGATATACGTATACTTAAAAAAAATCAGCAGGGGTGGAATGAAGGGGCAGGAAAGAGGAAGCCGCTCGGGTTGGGGGGGTCGGAGGGGGGAGGGCCTCTAGGCTCTGAGGACCATTGTATAATTCACTAGGGGCACATTAGCAGTAAATTGGCAATCTGTGAAAAGAGCTACAGCCCATCTCGGAGGTAAGCAACTTCTCTGTGAAAAGAGAGCGAGAGAGAGAAATAAAAAGAGGGACGGGAGAAGGGGGTAAAAAGAAAAGAAAAGAAAGAAAGAAAGAAAATCCTCAGAATACCTGGCATTCCTTATTGTGCTGGCTTTTGCCATTCCCAGATAAAGCAATTCATCCTCAGGATGTTTCAGCTGTTGAAGCAAGCAGGCCGCCTGTGCTGTGTGAGACCCCAGTTTAAAAGCTATGCGGGCTAGGTTTATCCATTTAGCTGGTCAGGTTGAAAGTGTTTTGTAGCTGTGCTGAGAGGCAGCCCTTGTCTAATTCAGAAGGCTTTCCGGAGACTGATGGTGCTCAGAGCTGGTTGGTGCTAATGCTCGAGTTTGTGATACACTGAGTGCCCTCCGCTGGAGAAAACAGATTGCACATTAAAGACGGGAACAAGTGAGCTTGTCAGGGCTGTGCAGCCTTCTCTGCTCAGAAAGGGAAATTAAAGGCACAGGATCACTTTTCCCCCCTCTTCTCCAATAATCTAAATTATAAAACGTTGCTGTCAGGGTTTATGTATCACAGCTGCAGCAGATGTCAGCAGCTTGCTAGATCTTCCTCCCTCCCAGTGTCTGTGATTAGTAGGTTTTGAAAGTTGTTGTGGCCTGAAACGGTTTTCTGTGTGTCACAGATGATATTGTCTCATATTCAATGACATGAGTAATTCCTTTTGTATTCAGGAATTTGTTGGTTTGCCTTTATTTATATATTTTGAAGACAGCGATATAAGGAAGCTGTCCTACTCAGGAGAGGGCACACCATGGTTGATTTTTAAAAAGTACTTAACTGCGAAATTTTTAAGTCTATCTAATCACTCATTCTCAACCTTTGTCAAGAACATCTATTTTGTGTACAACTTTGTACATCTATCAAGTGATTTATACTATGATTTTGTAAAAGTTCATATATTTAGCCTTAATGTTTTCCTAGCGATACTGTTTACCAAGTGTCTGGGTAACCAAGACTGAACTTCAGACAAGAGCTGAGGTAAAGCGTGTAAAGTTTATTGCAGTCATTTTCTTTAAAACTCATCTACTTTGGGGATGAACTTTTTCTTATGCAAATTATCTATTGTGTTGTGCGATCCTTTCTGAAAGAAAGGAGCACTCCAGTCCTCTAAAATTTGTAGGCGATCCTGAAGTTGGGACTAATGAAGTTGTAAAATGTTCCAATTGGGTAAAAAAAACCTGTACACTTTTTTGTAAACTTGCATGGAATGTTTAAAAACAATAACAATACATCATTACCTCCATTTCAAAAAATATTTTATGCATATGAGTACTTTCCCTGTGTGTATTTCTATGCATCATTTGAGCGCTTGGTGACTACAGAAGCCAGGAGAGGGCATGAGATCCACTGAAACTAAAGTCATGGAAACTGGACTCAAGTCTCCCTGTATGTGCTGGGATTGGAACTTGGGTCCTCTCCCAGCAGAGTATCTGACCTTAACCACTGAACTATTTCTGGCCCATACCTACATAATTGTGCTCCACACTTTTAGTTATTCCACAATTAGCTGACTAATAATAATCTAGAAAATAAATGCAGTGTAATGCAAAGAAAGGCTGCGAAATAGGACTGAACATGAAATTTAGTGGCTTTAGAACTTCAAAGGGATTTTTACATAAATATCTACAAATGGTGTCGGTCCTGGTAAATGGATGGTTTTAGAAATACTTCAGTTTTAGATTAGTTGATAAAATAGTATTTATTAAAATAGAATAAAGATGACTAATACATAATTTGACTCAGATTTATGAGCAGAAGGTCACAGACACTTGTTAAATTACTAAGATTTCTCCAAGAACAAAAAAGGGATCATCTGTCTTCTACATATATCCCTCCCATTAACTGATACCTGAGTTTCTATTTTAGACATGTGTACTTTTGGATTAAGACTTAAGACCTGGTAAAATGCAAATTCATATCACAAGAGACAAAATTATTATGGATACTGAAAATAAATAAGTCAATCAATGAACGTGATACACATAAATCCCTTTTAACTATTGTAGCTCATGTGGAGACACAAAACCCACCCTTATAATAAGTAGTAGAATATAGACAAATGGAAAAATTGTTGATTCAGAAAATAAAATAAGCACTCTACCAGTAAAATTTTTAAAAAAGTTTTTGATTGGCTGACTAGATATTATGTATAAAGTAGGGCAGGCAGGATAAGAGAACTCAAGTACTAGAAGAAAATGAGAAGCAGTAAGTTTATTTCCAGCAATATTTTCATTTGTTTGGGGGAAAAATAAATTGTTCAGAGCAGATTTCTCGTGGAAGATGAAACTAGGGTGTATTTGATTTCTTCTGCTGTGATATTTTGTCTGTATTTTCAAGTTCTTCATCTCATGAATATGTAGTTAAACATGATGTTTATCTATCCACATATGTATAAGTTTTCTTTTGTTTGAATCTACAATATCAGAACCAACTTTGACAGCTGATTAGAAAAAAATTTCATTCTTGTATCGTAACTAGCTGATGATTTGCTGAAAATATGAAAGTCTGTGACTGGAGAGATGGTTTAGTGTGAAAGCACTTCCTTCTTTTGCAGAAGACTTAAGTTCCTTTGCTGGGTCTGATATCAAGCTCACCACCCCTCTACAAATGCCTTTCAGCTATTTCCAGTTGCAGAGAAGATAGAGCCTCTGGCCACCTAAGGTGCTCATGCTCGTGTGTACTTCCACGCAAAAATACACAAAGCTAAAAGTAAAATAAATAAGCAAATACTGACTGGGCAGGATGCATACACACTTGGAGGTATCACAACACAAAGGAGACTAAAGGAAGAATCCAGGCAACCCTGGCTTGTAAGTAAATAGGGTTTGTCTTAAAAAAAACAATGTCAATGCTCCCTTAAGACCAAGTAGATGCTTATTGCATATTTGGTAACATATTCTATTCTTATTTTGTGAAAGATATCATCAAAATATAAAGATGTAGAAAACACTGTGATGATGTAGTGATAAAGAATGAGATGGAAGATACTATACAGAAGATATGTTTAAGAATTCCATCCTAGTCTTTCCTTCTTCCATGTGTGAGCACACACACATTTCACTCAAGAGAAAAGGTTAGTTTATCACTTCCTTAGACTGTTAAGCGTAGAGAAAATGACCACTGTGTGCTCATTGTTGCATGCTCCACAGTGAGCCCTCTGATTCTTGCCAAGGAAAACCAAGAGAAGATTAATGGGTTTCCTAGAACAAAGGAGAGCTAGGTTGCGTTGGATATATCTTCCATATTCAGTATTTGTCTAGATAGAAACATGAATATGAAACTTCTCCGAAAGAAGATGACTAAGTATGAAGTCAGCTTGAGATAATCAATAATGATGATTAGACAATCAAGAGGAAGAAGCTTACTGCTCACTTGGCTTAAACAACAAGCAAATACATGAAAGAGAAACAGAAGTCAAAAATATGGGTACACATCAGAAAAATGCAAAGGAGAGGAGATATTACTTTCATTAATAGCAGAGAGGCTGTTGATGGACTACCAATACATTTAAGAACAAGAACTTTTTACTGTCTCCTAGGCTCACAGGTCACAAATCTTTACAATGGTTTAAAAGATTCCAGGCTCATGGGATGCTCAGAACAACAGTTGTAAGTGTGGAAGAAATGAAGATATGAAAACTAAAGATACATTATCTTGTCCTCAAGTATATACCTGTCTGTCATTGATGCTCAGTGCACAGTAAGGGAGGAAAGTACCTTTTCTTTATAATATGTTGTCCTCTATCCAATATGGCATCAAGAAGCTAAAACATTAGACAGTAAAATATGAGACTTGACTTAAATTAAAGGAGATGAATTAAATGATTCCTAATACTTTTGCTTACTGATGATAATTAATGAGCAGCCAATAGGATTCTTTTGTAGTTCCTTCAAAGACCATTTGGCAACCACTACTTGATACTTGGATTTTTTCATGATAGAAATATTAACAACTCAGAAATCCCAAAGTCTGAAATTCAATACCTGCTTTACTTTTTGGTGTGTGTGCATGTGTGTTTGTGTGTGTGTTTGTCTAGACCAGAGAAAGTGATAGAAAATACTCAGAAGAGGATCAATTTAAAACTGTGCTGTATCTGTAGCTATGTAATTATTAACACTGAAAAAAATGAACAGTATTCAAGTATTTGGAAAACATGTTCTGATGAAGCAATGAAGTTCATCATTTTTAACAAAGAAATGAAGTTTAGTCAACTTAAAAACAATCAGATGGTGAGGGCTAGGAAGGAAGTTCAGTCAGTAAAGCTAGCTATGCAGACATGAGGGACTGAGTTAGACCCCCAGCAATCATGTAGAATTGAGAGCATGGTGGCATCACCTAGTAATTCCAGAACTGTTCAGGTAGAGACAGGAGATTAACGGTGCTTGTTGCCCAGAAATATGCATTAGCCTAATTAGCAAGCAGAGCATGGAGTCTCACAACCGATCTCAAGAAAACAAGATGGGCAGTTCCTGAGCAACAGTCATGGTTGACCTGTGTTCTTTACCACACTCACATGTATGTGTATACACTCATAGTGAACATGTACACGCTCAGACATTACTGATGATAGCTTTGTATTTGGAGAGCTAGTGTTATCTTTCTTTCCATTATAAGTAGGTCTTACATCTATCTTGTTAGGTACTCTAGTACTATGCCTTGTTTTAAGACAAGAAAAAGCTAATTTGGTCACTTTGAGAACTCTACTTTTCTACTATCTCACTATTTTAGTGAAGGACTAAAAGGGTCGGGGAAGATAATTGGAAAACTAATTAATGTATACAACACAGATTCCATTCCAGCTCTGCAACTTCTATGCTGATGTTTCCAACAATACTAAAATATTCCTGCATTGGAATGCTCATTACTCTCAAAGCTGTGGTAACATTTGATTGTGTCATGGGACATTTGTCCGTTTGTACTCTTATGTACTCTTATGTACTGTTATAACTAATATGAACCTGTCTAATTATAAATGATAAAAAGTGCTTTAAAAGAAGATGGAATAATTAGTAAATCAATTGATCAAGTGCTCTGGCAACCATCAATAAGTCAATAAACCGAGAAGTTAGTTACCATTAGTAAATGGTCAATGTCGCCTTCACAAACTTTCTTCTTCCCTAAGATATTAATAGATCTTTCGATTAAATGTCCACATTACTAAAATCTTAAAGATGCATGTTAAAGATATCTCAGCTCGAACTGTTTGAAAATAAAATATTATTTTAGGTAGGATCAATGAAGATTCCATAGTCAGATAAAGTGGCCCCAGTTGTTATCCAGTTCCTTAGGCTCCAATTCTCACAGTTAACTACTAATGTGTTGACTTAATCT